CCCCCCCCCCCCCCCCGCTGTCCTCGGGCCCCTACGCCCCCGCCAGAGATAGTGGCTGAGTCACTAGGCAAGGGGCGGTTGGAGCGGCTGCTAGCCGTTCCTAACAGACACCAAGGTCTTGGGCGCCCCCCAGAGGCTCTGTTTCCTCCGCATTCTGTTTCAAGGCTTTGGTGCCTGGCGGTAGCTTCTAATCCAAGTCCATGAGCCTGACTGGGCCGCGTCCTGAGTCCGCGCCTCACCCGGTTTCCGCTGCGTGTTCTGGATCTATTTTATCCATTTCCTCTCCTCCATCTTCCCCCCGACACATGGCGTGCTCGCTACACAAGTACTGAAGTCCCAAAGATGAAAATGGTGGGCTCGAGTTTCTGGCCCCTAGAAGAGGAGAACCTGGATATCTTGGACGACGGATGTGTTGCGTGCTGAGATCAAAGAGTATATGAAGGGTCAGGTAGAATGAGAAGGCTCCTCAGAAGTGCCCTTAGAGCTGGACTTTGACAGATGAATGGGAAATCTCTCCACTGGGTAGGAAGGCTTTCTCAGAGAGCAAAGATGCAGGGCAAACGTGGGAGCAAAGCGGAAGCCCTCTAGGAGGCAAACAGAGCCTCTCTGACCTCATCTGATTTAATTTTTTTACCTTTTGATTGGGTTAGATTATCCCAGTCCTGAGTCTCCTTCAGTGGCTCTGTCCACTGCTGACCCATCCCCAGGGGCTGCTGTGCTCAGGACCTCTGTTTTTATTTATTAGCATTTGCCCCAGATCCATTCCTCAAGATAATATACTGCCCTACCCTACCCTGAAGCCTTCAATTCATTTGCACCAGGAGGGTCTCAGCCCAGGCATAGCTCAGCAGAAGTGGCAGGGCTGCCTGGATCTCTTGTAGAATCCACTCTTCCACCTTTCTCTCCTTCATCTCCACCAGCTTGCCTACTGCTGCTTCTGCTCCTCTTCCTCCTCCATCACCTACTCCACCACCACCACCTCTCTCCTCCTCCTCCTCTTTCTCCTCCTCCTCCTCCTCCTCTTTTCTCCTCCTCCCCCCCACTTTACTTCCTCCCTCCTTCCACACTCCTCCCCTATTCAGAGCCCTGATATAAAGGTAGGGGGACAGGACCATTCATTTTCCCCATACTTTTCAAAGGAACTGTGTCCCACATGGCATGGGCTCTTAACTCCACCAGGAAATGATCCTACTGCTCCCTGGGGACCCCTCTGTACCAAGCTGCTGAGCCCCTACTCTCCTTCATATTCATATAAGTTCTGCCAATTGAGAAGGGTAGTGTTGGGAAATGAACCCAGAACCTTTGCATTGTACATCCTCAGCCCTTTTAAAAATTATTAATTTGAAATTTTGGGACAGGGTCTCACCAAATCACTAAGTTTCCCAGATGAGGCTTGAATTTGACATTCCCTTACCTTAGACTCGCAGAGTTCTCGGATTCCAAGCCTATGCCATCATGCCCAGCCTAGCTCTGCTAATTACCCTACAAATTAGTGCTGAGGTGGGTGTCACAAATCTGTTCTCTCATCTAATCTCTGAGGTTGCCCAGTCTTTTGCCCCTACCCCCACCTACCTTCCTTCACCTTCCTCAACTTTTTTTTCCCTCTGGTCCCCAGCTCCTTGACTAGCATCTGGCCCCCCCACCCCAGTCTCCTATGCCAAAACCTTCCAAGATTCAGGAGCTCTTCTTCCCCCGAGCCCCTCAGACACCACAGTTCTAGTTATGTCCCAGGCCCTTCAGTGTCCAGCCTTCTCTCCTACGCCCCCAAAGAGGAGTGTGTGACAACACGACAGTAGTCAGGTGGGATGTGACACCGCCAAGTGGCATCCTGTGATGTCGTCGGGTCCTGGAACTGAGTAGGGTTGAGGGCTACTGAGCGAGGACCCCGAAGGTCGCAGGGCCGAGTACTGAGCCCCCAGGACACCGGAGCTCCGGAAGGGGAGTCATAAACACGCACCAGGCCGCCACACTATCCTCCCCGGGCCCCAGTCCGCAGTTCCGGAAAGTTAACCCCTTGTAGCCAGGACAGGGGGCGCGAGCTCCCCCTACCCGATCTTGCTTTCACGCACCCTCCTTCCCCTCCCAGCTCCCTGTCTCTCCCCCCTCAACCCCACCTCCTGGCCACTAAAAATAGCCCCTTTCCAGTTTCCTAAATTCCCCGCTGACGTCGGCAGCGCGTCAGTGTGTAGGAGCCGCGGCCGCATGAATGAGCGGCCGCACGAGTACTACGCGCGCCTATAAAAGCCGCCGCGCCGGCTGGGCTGCGGGAGGCGAGCGGGCGCGGACGCGACGAGCCCGCCAGGTAAGCGGGACAGGCGACCGGCGGGCCACGAAAGATTGGGGCGCGGACACGGGCGGGGGCCTGGGGCGGCAGCGGGCTGGAGGGTCTCTTAGAGCGAGCATCGGCACGGGATGGGTGGCTTGAGGGTCCCTCGCAGCTGGCGGAGCGGGCCGGAGCCTGGCACCACCCCACGCATCCCCAGCCGGCGCCCAGATGGAGACGCAGCCACTTTGGAAGACCAGCACCCAGAGGACGGACCCTCGTTCCTAAGGGCTATATGTGGGGCTCCTGCGCCATCCTCCCAGGAAAGTGGGAGATGATGCCGCGCCCCTGGAGCCGCGCGCCCTCGTCCCACCCCCCGCCCCTCCCTGCAGCGCGGTGACTCAGCCTCCTTGCCCCCGACCAGCTCAGCCGGAGGCGCCGCGGGAAACATAGACGCTTCTGCCGTCGCTCTCTCGGGACCTCTGCCCCGCATTCCTGCCTGAGCGACCCCTCCCCGTCCCGTCCCGTCCCGTCCAGTCGGGCTGGTCCCGCAGCGCCCACGGCTTCCCGCCTCTACTCGCGGAGCTGTCCTCTCAGGACCAGGCGGGGGCGGGGCCTCGACCAGGCCGCCCCGCCCCCGCCGGAAATGCCTCCCTACTGGGACATCTTTGACGTCACAAGGCTCTGACGTCAAGGGTCGCGTGCCTGTCCGCGAGCTTTGGGGCCAAGAATAGTGGGAGATGTGGGAAAGGAGGAGCAGCAGCGCCCCCAGCTGCGGGCAGAGGGGCCAGCCCCTCCCGGGCAGCGCGCCGGCACCTTGGCTCTAGACTGGTTACTGCCGGGCCGCCCTCAGTAACAGTCTCCAGTCACGGCCACCGACGCCTGGCCCCGCCCCAGGACCGCAGACTTGGCCGCCCGCCGCGCGCTGGGGCCCCCCCGCTCTGTCTGGGGTCGCGCAACCCAGAGCTCGCTGCCCTCGCCGCCGCTGTCCGCGGTGCTGATCCAGCGCGGGCGCCACCATCCGGCAGTCATTCCCAATCCCCAGGTGCTGCTAGGGGCGGCTGGCCACATGATACTTGCACAGCCCCAGCGTCACGCGCCCTCTCCCGCCCGCGCTGCCGCCCCCCTGTTCCGATGTGCTGACGTCAGCCTGACCGGAGCTGCAGCGGTGCCGTCAGCGGCACGCGCCCCGCCCACGCGTCTCCAGGGCAACCGTGGCTTTCGATTGTTACTGTGGGAACCGGAGGTAACAGTCTACAGCCATGGTCGCCCCGCAGCACGCCCACGCGCCGCATCCTGCCAGCCACGGATTGAGAAGACGCGGAGCAGGAGGAGGCGGGAGCTACGAGTCAAGATCAATTGCGCTTGCGGGGGTGGTGGAAGATGTGTGCAGGGAGGCAGAGGAGGAGTCTGGCTGCTGTGCATCCACCCAGGGACAGAAGGAAGCAGTCCGTGGACTGTACGATATTCAGCTGACTGTCCTCCCAGCAGATGTATCACTGCCGAGGGATGGCAAGAGAACGGGGTAGCTCTGAGATACGGATTCTTTGTCACTCCTTGGAAAGGAGGTTGCTGGGCTAGAAATCATGTTTGCCTCCTGGGG